CCCAAAACGGCCCCAAAACGGCCCCAAAGAGGGACCCCCATCCCCGTCCTGTCCCCCGTGGCGATCACCACGCCTCGTGCCGTGCCTGGAACGGCACAGAAACGGGTCAGAATCACCCAAAAACGGGTCAAAAATGGTAAAAATTGGGGAAAACGGGAGTAGGGATCAAAAACAGCCCCAAAACGGCCCCAAAACAGCCCCAAAGAGGGACCCCCATCACGGTCCTGTCCCCCATGGCGATCACCACGCCACGTGCCGTGCCTTAAATGGATCAGAAACACCCAAAACTGGGTAAGAAACACCCAAAAATGAGTCAGAAACACCCAAAAATGGGTCAAAAATGGTGAAAATACAGAGAAATGGGAATAGGGGTCAGAAAGGGCCCCAAAATGGCCCCAAAGAGGGACCCCCATCACGGTCCTGTCCCCCTTGGCGATCACCACGCCTCGTGCCGTGCCTTAAATGGGTCAGAGACACCCAAAAACAGGTCAGAAACACCCAAAAACGGGTCAGAAACACCCAAAAAACAGGGGAGGAATCCCCAAAAGTTGGGGTGGGAATGGTAAAAATAGGGGAAAATGGGAGTAGGGGTCAGTAGGGGTTTTTGGGGGTGGTTTTGGGGGTGCTTTTTGGGGTATTTTGGAGTTATTTTGGGGTTTTTTGGGCTCACCCTCGACACAGTTGGTGGAGAAGAAGGTGCTGCTTTGGGACCCCCAAACCTCCTCCCCTGCCCCTTCAGGTTTTCTGGGGAGTTTTTGGGTATTTTGGGGTGGTTTTGGCTGGTTTTGGGGTATTTTGGGGGTGTTCTAGGGTGTTTTTGGGGTTATTTTTGGGGTTTTTGTGCTCACCCTCGACGCAGTTGGTGGAGAAGAAGGTGCTGCTTTGGGACCCCCAAACCTCCTGCCCTGCCCCTCCTGGGGTTTTGGGGTGTTTTTGGGGTATTTTGGGGTGTTTTTGGGTGTTTTTGGGGTGTTTTGGGGTTATTTTTGGGGTTTTTGGGCTCACCCTCGACGCAGTTGGTGGAGAAGAAGGTGATGTTCCGCGTCTCCAGGGGGTTGTCGTGGGTGCAGTCGGGTGAGCGCGTCTGGGGCTCCGACTCCCCGGTCAGGGACGAGTTATCCACCTGGGGGGGAGGTTTTAGGGGGTCCCCGATAAATTTAGGGGGTCCCCGAGAAATCTGGGGGGTCCCTGAGAGGTTTGGGGGGGTCAGGGAAGGGTTTGAGGGGTTTTAGGGGGGGTTTGGGGGGGACTGGAGGGGCTCCAGCTCCCCGGTCAGGGACGAGTTATCCACCTGGGGGTCCTGAGGGGTTTTAGGGGTCCCTGATAAATTTGGGGGTCCCCAAGAAATTTGGGGGGTCTCTGAGAGGTTTGGGGGGTCAGGGAAGGGTTTGAGGTTTTAGGGGGGTTTGGGGGGACTGGAGGGGCTCCAGCTCCCCGGTCAGGGACGAGTTATCCACCTGGGGGGGGGTCTCTCTGGATTTTTGGGGTCTCCCTGGATTTTTAGGGGTATCCCTGGATTTTTGGGGTCTCCCTGGATCTTTTGGGGTGCCCCCAGGCTCCGGGGGGGTCCCACCTTGCACCCATGGGCCGAGATGATCCCTGGATCTGGGGGGGGGTTCCCTGGATCTTTGGGGTTTCTCTGGATTTTTAGGGTCATCTCTGGATTTTTGGGGTCTCCCTGGATTTTTAGGGTCATCCCTGGATTTTTAGGGGTCTCCCTGGATTTTTAGGGGTATCCCTGGATATTTGGGGTCTCCCTGGATCTTTTGGGGTGTCCCCCAGTCTCGGGGGGGTCCCACCTTGCACCCGTGGGCCGAGATGATCCCTGGATCTGGGGGGGGTCTCTCTGGATCTGGGGGGCTCTCCCTGGATTTTTGGGGGTCTCTCTGGATCTGGGGGTGTCCCCAGTCCGGGGGGTCCCACCTTGCACCCGTGGGCCGAGATGATCCTCAGGTCAGCGGGGACTCGGTCGCCCCCCTTGACCTCCACCAGGTCCCCCACGACGACGTCCTCGGCGTTGATTTGCATCTTCTCCCCCTCCCGGATCACCAGGGCTTGCTGGGGGGGGATTTTGGGGGGATTCGTGTGGGGTTTGGGGGTGAGAGACCCCGGGAACCCCAAAACCAACCCAGAAACCCCAAAACCCCCTGGGAATCTCCACACCCCGGGGTACACTGAAATAAAAAATCAACCCTTTGTTGGTGTTGGGGCGTTTTGCTGGGGGTGTCAGAAATGGTCCCAAAACGGCCTCAAAAATGGCCCCAAAATGACCCCAAAAAAATGGTTCAAAACCGGCCCCCCCCAAAATGGCCCCGAAATGGCCCCCAAAGTGGCCAAAAAAAAAAAAAAAATTGGCCCAAAAATGGTTAAAAAAAAAAAAAAAAAGTAAGAAAAACGGGTCAAAAACGGCCCCAAAAACGGCCCCAAAAAACTGCCCAGAATGGCCCCAAAAAGAGCCCCCAAAACGGCCCCAAAACAGGTTCTAAGGCACCCCAAAAATGGACCAGGACCCCAAAAATGGGGCAGGACCCCCAAAAAATGGAGCAGGACCCCAAACCAGCCCCCAACCAACCCCAGAACAGGTTTTAGGACCCCCCCAAACCAGCCCTAAATGTGGATTTAAGCCCCCAGACCCCAAATCTCGACTCCAGACCCCGAATCTCCACCCCAAACCCCCAAATCTCGACCCCAAACCCCTGAATTCCGACCCCAAACCCCCAATCTCGACTCCAGAGCCCCGAATTTCGACCCCAGCCCCCAGATCCCCCAAAATCCCCCAAAAATGTCACCTGGGGCACCATGTTCTTGAAGGATTCCATGATCTTGGAGCTCTTGGCCTCCTGGTAGTAGGAGAAGCAGCCGGTGATGATGACGACGGCGGCCAGGACGATGCCCAGGTACAGCTGGGGAGCTAAACGGGGTGCCTTCACTTTGGGGTCCAGACCCCAAAAATTACCCCCAAAAGCAGCAGGACCCCAAAAAAACCCTCGGAGCGATTCCAGTTCCTTCGGCTTTGAGGGGGGAAGGGGGGAAATCCCCCCCGTTCTGAGCAGCAAATTTGGGGGTCAGGCACCCCTGGCCCCCAAAACGGACACCTCGGGGTCCCAGCTGCCCCCCAGACCCAAATTGATCCCCCAGCCCCCAAAATCCCCCTTTCCCACCCTAAATCCCGACTCCACCTCCCTTCCCCCTTAACTCCCACGAACTCCCCTTAATTCTGCATCCCCAAATCCTCTAAACCCCCTAAAACCCCAAAAACCCCCAACCCCCCCAAACCGACCCTCCAGACCCAAATTAACCCTCTCAATCTCCCTGAAATCCCAACTGTCCCATTAAAACTCCCCAATTGTCCCATTAAAACTCCCAACTGTCCTTTAACTCCCCATTGTCCCTTTAACTCCCGTTAACGACTCCGTTAACTCCGCAGTCCAAATTCCCCCAAATCCCCCTGAACTCCCTAAAACCCCCCAAACCAGAACCCTCAGACCTCAACTGCCCCCAGACCCCCTTTGCCCCCTAAATCCCGACCCACCCCTCCCTTCTCCCTTAACTCCCATTAACTCCCTGTCCCAAACTCCCGTTAACTCCGCAGCCCCAAATCCCCCGAAACGCCCCTAAATCCCCTGAAACCCCCAAACCGACACCCCAGACCCTCAACTGCCCTCCCAGACCCTCAACTCCCTCTCCAAACCCTCCTTTGCCCCTAAATCCCAACCAACCCCTCCCTTCCCCTCTTAACTGCCGTTAACTCCGCAGCCCCCAAATCCCCGAAACGCCCCCAAATCCCCTGAAACCCCCCAAACCCCTCCAAAACCCCCAAACTGATCCCCCAGACCCAAATTAACACCCTCGGCCCCCAAAATCCCCCTAAATCCAAACCGACCCCTCCTTTCCCCCATTAACTCCCAATAACTCCCGTTAACTCCCCGTCCCCAAATCCCATGAAACGCCCCCAAATCCCCGAAACGCCCCAAATCCCCCGGAAACGCCCCCAAATCCCCTGAAACCCCCAAACCGACACCCCCAGACCCTCAACTGCCCTTCAGACCCTCAACTCCCCTCCAAACCCCCTTTGCCCCCTAAATCCCAGTCAACCCCTCCTTCCCCTCTAACTCCCGTTAACTCCGCAGCCCCAAATCCCCTGAAACCCCCCAAAACCCCCCAAATCCCCAAAACCCCCAAACCCCCAAGCCCCCAAACCGATCCCCAGACCCAAATTAACACCCCGGCCCTCCAAAATCCCCTCTAAATCCAAACCGACCCCTCCTTTCCCCCATTAACTCCCCTTAACTCCCCTTAACTCCCGTTAACTCCTGCAGCCCCAAATCCCCAGAAACGCCCCAAATCCCCGAAACGCCTCCAAATCCCCAGAAACCCCCAAACCGACACCCCCAGACCCTCAACTGCCCCTTAGACCCTCAACTCCCCTCCAAACCCCCTTTGTCCCCTACATCCAAACCGACCCCTCCTTTCCCCCTTAACTCCCGTTAACTCCGCAGCCCCAAATCCCCTGAAACGCCCCCAAACCCCGAATCCCCCTGAAACCCCAAAAGCCGGGCTGACGTTGTCGTTGGAGGCTCGTCCTCGGTGCCGGCCAGGATGCCGTAGGCCAGGAAGCAGAGGATGGCCCCCGATCCAGAGCAGGATGGAGAGCCCCTGAAGAGCTGCCGGCAGAACTTCACCCACTCGGGGTCGTGGGCGGGGGTCAGCGCGTTGGGGCCGTCCCGGGCCAGGATCTCCTGCGCTTTGCTGTGGGTCAGACCCTGCACCCCAAAAAAATAAATCAGGGGGGTCGGTGGAGACCCCCAAAAAAAAAAAAGAAAAATCCCACCAAGAAGGGCTTGAAATGCCGAAATGGCCCCAAATGAGCCCCGGGGGTGGGGGTGAAATAAAACACGCGGGATTTTGGGGGGGCCATCCCGAAAATGGGAGGCTCCCCCCAAAAAAAACCCCACCCGGAGGGACCCCAAAAACCACCGAGAAATTCCCCCAAAAAAAAAAAACCTTCAGAAATGCCCCAAAATCCCTCAAAATGCCCCAAAACCACGTTTTTTGGTTTTTTTTTTTTTGGGGGGGGACCCTAAACAGCTCCCTGGGAGTCCCTCCATGGCAAAAAAAAGGGGGGTCGGGGGCACCCCCAAAATCACAGACCCCAAAACCCTCCCGGAGAGACCCCAAAACCCCTGGGACCCCCCAAAATGTAGCCTGGGCGCAGTCGGTGTTGTATTTCCTGCAAACCTCCTCGATGGACATCTTGTGCTCTGTCTGTGGGGAGGGGGGGGCGCCCCCCGGGTCAGGGACCCCAAAAACGACCCCCAAAAACACCCCCAAAAACACCCCGAGAGACCTCCTCGGGTCAGGGACCCCAAAAACGACCCCAAAGCACCCCAGAGACCCCCAAAACACCTCCAAAATACCCCCAGAGACACCCCCTGGTCAGGGACCCCAAAAACGACCCCAGACACTCCCTGAACCCCCAGAGACCCCCAAAATTCCCCCAAATCCCCCAAACCACCCCAAACCCACCCTTTTTAATGACCCCAAAGCCCCCAAATTTCCCCTAAACCCCCAGCCTCCCCTAAACCACCCCAAACCTCCCCAAATTCCCCAATCTCCCCTAAATCGCCCCAAACTGCCCCAAATCCCCAATCTCCCCCAAATCCCCCAATCTCCCCAAATCCCCCAGACCTCCCCAGACCTCCCAAACCACCCCAAACCCTCCCTTTAATGACCCCAAATCCCCCAAACCGCCCCTGAAGCCCCCAAATCCCCTCGAACCCTCCCCAAATCCCCCAAACTTCCCCAAACCTCCCCAAAATCCCCCAAATGCCCCCAATCTCCCCCTAAATCCCCCCAAACTGCCCCAAATGCCCCCAATCTCCCCAAATCCCCCAAACCTCCCCAAACCTCCCAAACTCTCCTTTAATGACCCCAAATCCCCCAAACCACCCCCCAAACCCCCCAAATCCCCTCGAACCGATCCCAAACTTCCCCAAATCCCCCAAATCCCCCAAACCTCCCAAACCACCCCAAACCCTCCCTTGAATGACCCCAAATCCCCAATCTCCCCCAAATCCCCCAAACCTCCCCAAATCCCCCA